GTCGGAAAGGAGTGTTCGTATAATTGCTTATTGAAAGGACATGAAAGGGAGTTTTACGTCTGACTGTTCTGCACAATTGAATTATTGAAAACGGAAAACGCCAAATTTTGTCAGAACAATTACAATAGCCATTTGTGTGTTTAATCACGAAAGTCCTGGCTCACAAAAAAAGAACCGAGACTTTATATTTGATATAACTGATATACACATTCCCCCTTTATCACTTGAGTAAGCAATTTATTTGCAGTTCACGACATGTGAAATACATGTCCCTATAGTTGACAATATTATCAATAAAAGTCCATCTAAGGAAACGTGGTCAATAAGATTCTGTTAGTCACCCTCCAGAATCAATTAAGAAAGTATTAAGACTAGGAATTGTTTGATCTTTTTCTCATTAAATCAAGTAAATCAAAGAAGTTTTATTTATTCCATGACTTCACTGACTGAATCATTCATTCTGTTGATGGTGACTGTATGAGTCAACGACAGTAGCCTAATCCCTTTTTCCCTAGGGTTTAAAAACCGATACACATTGGTATAGATATCTTCACAATACCAGAAAGCTATTACGAATTTCGTCTTATAACTTGACGGCTATAGCCACCTTTCTTGTATCACGTGATGCAGCGATTTGATTGGACTGTATGCCATCGAATACAGCCAATCAGAGTCCTCGACAGAAAGACTGTAAACACTGTCTCTAATTGTTTGCAGACATTCTGTCGAAGACTCTGATTGGCTGTATTCACAAATGTACAATACTACAAATAAGCTGCATTTACAAACTTCCGTTGAACAAGAATATCGGCTGTTGTAGTCAAGGTATGAGACAGAGTTCGTAATCGCTCGACATTGTGAAGATAGGATGTAGACTGATCCTAGAAGAGTAGTGGGAGGATAATCAAACGGAAATAAGACAGCTGTGTGGATATAGGATACAGTATCCCAGTGATTACCTCATATCGATGTTATATAATGACAGATATCCGCCTATTATTCAAAATGAGGTGACTGTCATCTAATGATTCATTTATTTCAATATATAACACCTCCATACTGCGACTTACTTGCTGCTAATCTATTTCTTTGATGTGAATTTGGTATTGAAAGGAATTTCGAAATGACACCATCGGAAGGGCTTTTATGGAAAAGTGATTTAGTCGTTGGAAGGGACAGTAAAGCGAGGAATTGTGTGTCACAGACTGTGCACTTTGGCGAGAACTCGACAGTTGGGATTCGTAAAAGAGTAGGCAAATGTTCTGACAAAATAGTTGCGTATACCATAACGTTTTCCCATCTCATTATCCCAACGAGTCAGAAAATAAATTTTCAATTCAATTTAGTTCAACTTATGTATGCTTTTTGTCGTGCAAGGTCAATAATTTCTCAAAGTTTCGTTTTTAATTCAGGAAATCAACACATGATTACGGTTGATTGACATCATAATTATGGCGGGATTTTTCAACACATTATTGGGCAGTGTTATTTCCTACTTATCAATAACTTATTCAACAGTTTTAATATCATCAATTTATAATTATTATGATATAATGAAACACCAGACGATATTATTGACTTTTTGATAATCTTAAGATTCATTAGTCTCCTATTCAAATTGCTTAAACCAGATTTTTTTTTTAAATTACCCTTAACTTACATATTTAAGTAATAATTACGACTTGTCATCAATATATCAACAGAACAAATCATATTTTTGTGGCATTTGAGCTTCAAGGTTCTTCTCCACAGCGATTCAGAGGGGTTGAAATAATTTTATATCTCCACTTTGGATATTTGCAAAAAATTTCATGTGGCACATGTTTGGAATATCTTCAAAATTCTAGAGAGACATTCAGCTGAACTCCTCGAGTAAGAGATTCTATTCCGTGTAGGTCTAGAACATTTTCAGGCTTCTCTCCCGTCTGTGAAAAAGCAAAACTTTTTCACCCTCATCACACACTGTTTGGTGTTGCACGTTCTACTAATCCGTCTTAAAGGGGAAAGTGTGCACCAGCTTCATAAAAACAAGAATCGGTCAACAATATGTCAATTAAAGTGAATTTTTTTTTTATGTTCAAAAACAGTCCGATTTTCAAAAGAAATTAATCACATTTAGTTTTATCGCTGCATGTCGACCATAATAAAGATATTTAAAAATAAACCAAGTAAATTGGTGCATATTCCAACTTTAAACTTTCAAGATACTGCCATGAGGTGCACATTATCGTCATACATCATTTTCAAAGCTTCAAAATTTGGTTGAATACGTCCTTAATTAGAGGCATTATAAATACTGATATTATCAATGAATTGATTTAAATAGGATGGAATGTCGCCTATATTTCCGGAAGCAGTGATTTTAAAATCTCAAAATCAATTCATTATAGATTATAACTTAAGCGTCTTAATATTATCATTGAGACGATGTGGCTTAAAGGGGTTGTGAAGAGGTTTTCTAAGTTTTGTATGTTTATCGGAGACACCGAAAGCTTCAATTTGCACCATTCCAATTTTCAATCAGACGTCTGTTCTTTCTGCAATTCCACTTAAACTGATGACGTCACAAACAAGCATAGTATCACAGATGGCCCTTCGCGGTTAGTGACGTCATCAAACACACGATTTTAGTGGAGTAGTAGGAACCACAGACGTCTGCAATTCGGAATGGTACAAATTGATGCTATCAGTGTCCCCGATACATATAAAAAAAATTAGAAAATCTGTTTACTATCCCTTTAAATTGATATCATCATAGCAATATTTCACTCACCGTTACATATGGAATTTCAAATTTTAATGATTGATCACGCTAGAGATTTAGTAATTATAATCTAATTTGAACAATGATATAATCTATCTTGTAATAATCAGGAGAAATGACGACCTATTCAGTCATAGTCTACAGTTAAAATCAGGAATTTGAGAATAGACATTTCCAAGTTTAATTAGTTCTTGAAGAAATTTAATTACTGAAATGATTGATTATCTTTCATATAACTACTTGTACTGATTTACTAGAACCAGTTTCTAAACGTCAATCACAGATGGCTATTTTTGACCGCTATGATTCAATGCTATCAGTCTTTAACGCGTCCTTAACCCGAAGATCTTTCAACAGTTGGTTATTGTTAAAGACTAGGCTTATGTCAATGTTCAGCATAATACACTTCGTTGTCTTTATTAGTCCAAACAGTAGCAAACAGTAGAACTTGAACATTCCATTTCAGATGGTTTCAGTCGTACTTCAACTGTGGTTTGGTTTGGAGGCGTCCTCGCCAGGATAGAGAACTTTGAAATCTAGATAGGAAGAGTTATGTCCCATAGCATTGAATCGAAAACGACTTTTTTTTTCACCCTCGATTGCATTAAGGTTGTATGGTTAGTACATTTATAACGGTAAACAATGAAACTTTATGGTAAAATATCCCATCAGAAACAAGTATGATTCTTACTATCTATTCTGGCAGTCGTAAGTCGTAAGCTAGTGCATATCAACTACATCAAAGACTATTAGAAGATCCCCGAACACCAAGGCCTTATACTATATAATCCTTTGACTGTAAGACTATATAGTAAATAGTAACTGTATCAACTATGGGGCTTTCCGTGCAAGGCAGTTCTGATATTAGCACCTTTTACAACTATATTTAACTTCAAAGGAGGTCGACAACATGTAATGGTGGCATAGTCTTAGCCAGTTGTCAAATGTTGAAATTCAACAGAAAACAATTAACGCGTTTCCTTTGCACCTCAATATATGTATCTGCAAGACCACCTCACCCTTATACTCTAATCAAACACTTAGATGTTTCTATTTAATATTTATTGCATGCTGATGCATTAGGTCGAAAACACACACAAACTAACTGAGACTTCAAAAGTAGCAAGCTAGAATTCCTATAGTAAAATAGGCAGCTTTTTCAGAGTGTTTAAAGACATGTACACCCAAATAGGATATATACTTTAAGTTTTTTTTTCTGAAACTCCACATGATATCAATGAGCTATACTTTAGTTCAACATTAACATAGATAGATAGATTCTCTAATAGTAACAAATAACAGTAACAGTAACAATAGTTAAACATAATTATCAAATATTTCAATTGAATTTGTCATCGAGGTGCATTTTGTCGAGAACTAGGTAGATTTAGTCGACTGCCACTGGGACTTGGACCAGGATCAGAAGCTAATTGATTTGAAGTATCATCAAATGCCTTCTCGAAATCAAAGAAACTCCTCTTGTCTCTGGCAGATGCCCCTTTCACCTGAAATAAATAAATAACAAAGACGCTTTCAATGCTTATTTTAAACAATACCGAAAAATATCGCCTATTCCACAAAATAAATTTAACAATTCAATATTGACAGCGAGATAACGTGCAATGAGTGGGGACTCGTGGACTGTGTGTCAGAACCCCTCCCCTGGTACTTTTTTTTTATTCAAAATATGCTCTCCTGCATTTTTTGGGTGTGGGGGTCGTGGACTTGGTTCAAACAGTACCTCTAGTATGTAAACCACATCATTTAGTGAGTACAGTACAACATGCTCAAAAAGACGAAGTTTTATTCTGGATATCGCAGGGGGTAAACCACATCAATTAGTGAGTACAGTACAACATGCTCAAAAAAGACGAAGTCTTATTCTGGATATCGTAGGGGGTAAACCACGTCAATTAGTGAGTACAGTACAACATGCTCAAAAAATATGAAGTTTTATTCTGGATATCGCAGGGGGTAAACCACATCAATTAGCTCGTGCAGCACATGCTAAAAAAACATATAGATAGAACATGATATAAAAGACTATAAAAGTGCTTACGTCAAGACTTTTTTCAAATTGTTCTTTAAATGTTTCAAGAATATTATGAACTTGGCTTCTTCTTCTTCTCATTTCCAAGTCGATTGCTGAAAGTTAAAGTAGAACCAATATATTGCGAACAGAAGACCCGTGATTGATATAGTTACAACCATAGAACACGTTTATTCAAAGATATAATTACATAATCATAATTGTAATGGGATAAAAATGGTCGGTGAAACATTCGTGAAATACATGTAGTAAAGAATTACCTTGCTGTTTTTCTTCCTCAACGTTTTTCTTTATCATTCCAGATGGTATCCAGTCAGTGATGACACTTTTATAGATATTAGTCAGGACGTTGACTATACCATACGGTGGTGGTATGCTGGTAACATTGGATCGTACCACAGTCATGGTGTTATTCATAATAGCTTGGAACATGGTGAGTAATATCAATATCACAAAGAATACCAGAGTGAAGAAGTACAATGCACCTAATCCATCAGAAGCACCTAACATCATACCCAACTGATTCTTACCCAACAAATACGTAAAAATTGACACACCTGCATCCATTGGAGAACGGAATTGTTTTAATTTGGTCATAAACAAAACGTAACCTGATGCAATGTATGCAAAATAGAAGATACCAAATACAAAAGCAAAACCTATGAGACCTTTAGCTGACGCTCTTAGGACCTCTCCTATCATTGTAAAGCGCCTGTTATAGCCCAATATTCTTAACATCCCAATAGTAGCTGTAAACACCAGAAAACTCAAACTGTGCACGAACAACGAATCCCAAAGAACAATATGCTCAAAATTAACAAACTTCTTTGGATCTGCTCTGAATTTCGTCAACGTTAAACTTGAATATACCTCTCTACAGATAAAGAAAGCCACACCAAATATTGTTGTTATGAACGTTAGCAGATCCATAATATTCCAAAAGGAAATGAAAAATGCAAACTTCTGCTTTATCAAAAGTTTTATACATTTATAGCCAAACACCATTAAAATAATCAGAACTATTATTTCACAAAGGATAATAAAAGCACCAATCGGTCCGACATTTTGAAAAACCCTTAGTGTTTGAATTTGTTTCCATGTAAGAACACTGCCAAATTCAGGGAACTCCGCAATCAGTTGCACAAACGTTAACAGATTTTTATTGGCATTATACAGAGAAAACTCTACAAAAACAGCCCTCGTTTGACGATCCAACCATCCATAATTCTTAATCTCCTTGAGCTTATCCATAGAAACATCACGATTAACACTCATTTCAAGAAAATATCCATCACCCTGATACAAATCTAAATGACCAGAGATCGGCATTCCCCAAGCATCTTCAGAAGTAGCATGTAACCAGGCATCAAGTGTACTAGATCGTAATCTGGTATCTAAAGAACATGGTTGTGGATTCCAACCAGGACAATAATCGGCTGTTTCTGATTGACTTGATGTGTAAGGCCAGTAATATGAATATCCTTCGATGAGATTCATATATTTTGTTCCATAATATGGTGGTGGCCCTGTAATAATGACATAGAAAAAGATGGTAATTTTGATCAAAAATCTTCCATACACTTAGATATGTTGTTTGGATTTCGGGTTTCGTTTTGCGATTTGGATCGTTAGTAGGCCTTCTACAATGCGACGTTTCGACGATGGCCTGTATCGAGTGTATTGTGTAAATGTTATATAGTCAATTACCACTAGAATAAACCTTGGCCCTGGGATAGGTGTCGGTGCACCTTTCAATCCAAAATGGAGATCAAACAGGCTATCAGCAAAGTGAGAGCGAGAGCTCAACCAAAGAAAATGGTCTGAAAAACAATACTTTTAAGAAAAGAGAAGCACTCACGCTCTTTTATTCGAACCTGTCGAATCCGAGCTGGTCCAACACGGAAATTAACATGATCATTGTAAAATAATCGTTCTCTCCAAGACAGTTTATCTCCCCTAAAATTACCAACTGGAAACAGTGACGGCACCATTTGATCATTCGCCCAATCGAAGAAGTCGTCATAGGATTGAATCTGAAAAAATCATCACCAGTTTACCAATTGTGACAAAATAAAGAACTGAATAAATTGGCATTCCCAAATGTTTGATTAATATAAAAGATATAGCACACTAGAAGCTTTGATTTTGAATAAAATTGAATAACATTAAATATTGTTTGATTTTAGGATTTTCTATAGGGTTAATCCACCTACACCAAGTTTTGTCAAAATCAGACAAGAATTGTGCCTTCTAGAATGTATACGGGTAATTGTGGACCGACTGACATGGGCGACGCCAATAAACGCCCACATGTTACGTGAGAGTTTAAAACGGTCTTTTTTAACTAAGAAAGTTGTGTTCTCTAGAAACATTAAGTAATGACTAAACCCACGAATCCTGTGTGTGACAATTGTTTACTTTTGAGAGTTTTTATCTTTCGATGAGTCCACAAGCCTAATATCTGGATGTGTGACTCAATGTGCCAACAAAGATCACTTGTCTTACTACAAAATAATTCTCTGCGCTGTTTTTACAACATTTTACAAAGAAAGTACTTTTATCAATGTATTTGGTAATTAGTGATATATTATGAATGTTTTTATAATATAATTTTGAATGCAGGTAGATGAGTAAGTATTTGTAAAACAAAGATTGTGGAATACTTACGTTTTCAAAACTGCCAGTGAATATATCTTGTTCAATGTGTGTTTGAAATGCAAAGTTACTGGTATCTCGATTACCATAACAAACAGCATATAAAGCAAACAAAAATACTCCATACAATATCAAGTTCATAAAAACAGATTGAGCCTTCAGTTCTTCTTTACGTCGTTGTCGGGCTTTTTCCATAAGAGATTCTGGTATAGGATCGGGGGGAAGTTGAGATACATCTGTTAAACGACAGGATACATATCAATATTTGTTAATTTCAAATGCCATACCAAGCTTGTCTTACCATCTTCAAAATGGTCAAGATATTACGAGGACCCTCGACAGAAAGGCTGTAAACATTATGTCTTTGTGTTCACAGACTGTCTGCCTAGCGTACAATCCAATCAAATAGCTTCATTTGCAAACCAAAGTGTTGACTTTTGCAGCCAAGGTATAAGGCGAAGTTCGTATTAGCTTGACATTGTGAAGATGCATATCGCCAGACGTTAGCCTTTGTCAGTGTTACAAGCATGGTTTTAGGATTAATTAGTTTGTTTGGAAAATAATATAAGTACTAAAATAAAAAACGAAATGACAACTTAACATCTTTAGTTGCCCTTTAGGGTCAATTCATAGAAATAGTTAACATCTTTACAGCTGTCCTTCAGAGACACAATGCTTTAATTTAGTTTAATGGAACAACGTGATTTAGCATTCATTCGTCGTTGAGTCAAGAGTCTTACCAACTTCAGTTAAACCAAATTTCTCTACTTCTGTCTGTACCTTCTCCACATTGACTTTATCTACCTGATTATAGGGACTTCTTAGTAAACATGCCAATAGGACTGACATCAATAACACCTACAAGAAATTAACAAATCATGAAAAACGAAATGGGCACCACATTTGTCTACTAGTGACAATGTTATCATTGAAAAATACCTTTTGAAACCTCATGCATTTTGTTGTTATAGTAGAATAACCCATTTTCGCACGCTTTTTAACAAGCACGCTTTAACAATGGAACCAATCTCGAACATACAAGTTTAAAGTTTTAACACTGGAAGATTACCATTGACTCACCTTAGCAGGATCCATTACAAAAAGATTCTCAAAGAATGACAAGAAGAAAGCTGCTAACCATTCCTCCGATATAGATTTTCCCCATTCCATGCTGTAAAGTATGAGAAAATTAGAGGACGCCAGAACAATAATTACCACTATAGCCCATCCTATTTTGATACAATAATTTGGTAACATTTTATTAACGTTTGCATTATCTAAAATATCGTCCCCTTCCGGTTCCTCAACGACGATTTTTGGTACTATCTGTTTTTTCTTGCGACAGCATATGCAGGAGGAGTTCTGCTTGAGCTTGAAATAATCCGGTGGTGGTTTGGATGATTTGAATATAAATACGAGTAGAATTAATGGAGGCACGGTTATCCCCACACTGATGAATGAGTTGAAGATCGAGGTCATTGAAAATCTCAAAATGCCAATCTGGAAATCATTGCTGACTGTCTCTTCATCATCGACGTTGTTTTTAGAATTAAAGTACACAGCGTTAACGATCATGGTCAGGAACAACAGACTCAGACAGCAAGCCGAGCGTTGTAGTCTTGAGAAGGTGCTCTTATCTGGACGCAAGAAGACAGATAACCATAAATGTGCATCGGTCACATTGAGACGAGCATGAGCAGAGAAGAGTTTATCAAAGGTCATTAAGTCATCTTTGCAGGCTACTGGTATAAGTCTATCTATCATACCATCATCTTTATCTATTCCCAACCATCGATCATTTAAAAACACATATCTAGCAAATAGAAAATAACATACTTAAATGGCAATACCTGAATTGTTTTGTCGACTTAAACAGCGTTTAAGTTCCATGTTCTGTGACCCTGTGACAGATATATTTTGCTACCAATGTTAAAGTTTTGTGAAACTATTCCTGAGTTTCATCCATTACCGTCTTGGACAGGCCGGGCTGCCAACGGGACAACAGATATTTTTTGGGAACTATTAAACAGAAATAAACTGCAGACTGCCCCGATTAACCGAATAAGTTGGAACTAATAAGCTAATTGAAATATGTAAACGTAGTATTACCGTTGATGGGTCTGAAGATCTTGCACAATAATTTTACTCAGAAACCAACTACCATTGGAACCATGACCTTTATTATCATGCCATACACGGAAGTATGTCAAATCACCCAATTCCACAGAGCTAGAACACACTAAGTTCAGAACACTGCTCGTTTCAAAATCCTGTAAGTAATGAAATAAACCGTTTATAGTACCACCGAGATGTAAGGCCTTTGACGGAATAGAAAAGGGCTTTCTGACGCCCAAATTCGACTGATGTGACAAACTAAGCATCATTGGCGCTTCTATGAATCATTGGATTGAAGGGAAGAGTAGAGGCTACATAATTGTCAAAGGAGGATCACAGCATCAGGCATATCTCAATGATAAGAAATCTTAAACTGTAGGGGCCAGTCTTTTCAGAGGGAGGGGCATCAACCTTGGTTCTTAGTATTGTTCATCATTTTACTTAATAAACTTAACATGGTACGAAATAACTCTAGTTTACCCTTTTTCCATCACTAAGACACCTCACACCAGTATCACCTTGGGTTCCAGCCATGATGAAATAAATTCCAGATTTAGTACCAGCATTCTTTCTTAATCCAGTGTACACGGTCAGTAGATAAAAATGTCTATCATCTGAAAGATTGTCCGTTAAATAGCCTACACACCACTACAATAAAAAATATATTCGCTTTGTTAAACATCTATTGCACTTATTGGGGCTTGTGAGGATGCTGTTGGTCTATTTTTGCGCAACCTCTATACATTACTGCATCAACGTTATATTTACTTTGTTATGGGCATCTTTAATTGTGATGATCGAGTAGGACATTTTCTATTTCTTGTATGTGTTGGAATCAACCAGTCGTTCAAAGGACACAATTTGTTAAGGACTCCTATGCTACAGGCTTGGAAGGTTAAGAATCAAGTGGTTCAACTACCATAGGGACTAGTTGAACCTAGTCCACGGCCCCCACCCTAGTTGTGTTGTAACAGATAACGGTAGACAATTGCTGCTGTTCGGGAATAGTTGCCCGTCTCCACGAGCCTAGTCAGGAGCAGTCGTTAAACTGTTAGTCGAGGACTCCTACAGGCTTGGAAGGTTAAGAATCCAGTAGCTCAACCAGGTACCATAGAGACTAGTTGAACCAGGTCCACTGGCTTCCAACTGTTAGTCAATAGCCTTTCATGAGTAAATCCTTATAGAAGATTAAAAATAATTAATAAAATACCCTTTCTTTGTCCTGTTCATCCTTTCGATTTGTCCACATAGCAATAAAGCTGTACAGTACTAATATTGCTATTACTGAACCATAAATCGATGCATTAGACACATCAAACTTGGTCCATATTACATTAAAGTCTATAGTATTTGGTGGTACATAGAAGGAACTGGCAAATGAAGTACCAGGAGGGTCATCACAGACACAGATTGTCTCGTCTGGTGTGGAATATGGTGAAATCTAAAATAATAAAAGAAAAAAAAACTAAAATATACAAAATATTTGAAATATACAAAAATCTATATATACGAAAAATCTACAATATACGTAAAAAAAATCCAAAATAAAACAGAATAATCGGAGATCGCACCAACTATTCTTTGGCGAAAATTGAAGTTATAAAATCATCATAATATTATATTGATTGTTCAGACTTACCTTACAAGCTCTTGGATCCCATGCTTCAGTATTTTCATCCCAAACTCTACAGCCATCAGTGGTAGCTAATACACTGTACTTATCAAATGTAGCTAATGTTTCATTAACAGTATCAATAACAACAGTAGCTGTACCTGAACCTCCTGTAAACAAAGACAAATTTTGAGAATCTTATGTGGAATCGATCAAAATATCCAAGATGGGAAATCAGATCATTTTGACAAGGTGACTCTGCTAGTGGACAGGACTGGCTCCCCCCCTCCCCCCCCAAAAGGTATTTCATCAGGTAGAAAAACGGAATTTGAAGTGCCCTTTATGAAATTTCTACCGAAGGTGTTGCCGGATCAGTAGGTGCTTAAGCGTTTACTTTATAAGCAGCACATTCTTACCATTATCCAAAGATGAGTCAGTAACATTATCGGAATCACCTGGAGCTTCTGTTGTGTTGGGCATTGTTGAGTTATTTGCTGCACTTCGTTTTCGTCTCAAATTGGGAATATCAGGAGGACGTTCACCTGCAGCAACAAACAAATAGTCTATTTACAAGGTAGATTTCTGATCGTCGAAGACTGGCATAAATTGATCATAATTGTGGTTCACACGATTTTACCACCCGTGGTTGCGTTTCTGAACGATTGTGGTAAATTAGATTTCAAGATGTATTGTGTCAAACATGGTCATCACAATTGTGTGAAGCAGTAAGTCGCGAATTCGTACCAGAAGTGACTGCTTATTGATAAACAATTTTTTTGCAGCTTGAAACACGTGCTCTTATGCTTGAATGACAAATTTCTTATCACTACGCCCTAAGTACTCTCTGAACCTCAATGAACCACTCTCTTAAAAAAAATGGACTAACCTTCGACAAAGACAAGTCCGGCTATAACAGTTCCAACATCCGGGAATGTATCAGGCGGAGCTGTTATTTTAAATACGGCATTTCCTCTCAATGTATCATTGACACCATATGTCTTGTAATCGTACTTATTGACCTTTGGTGTTTTATTAATTCTTAAATAAGCTGTAACATTAATAACGTTGATTGGAGCAGCTACATACAATGTACACACATCGAATGTTTTTCTCAAAGGAAATGTATGATAGTGCATTCCTTCGTCCCCTTTTACAGTTTCATCGAGTCCAAATCCTTTAAAATCTGGAGGATTTTCGGTTTTAAGTTTTAACGTTACTGGCATCTTAATAGTTGTGCCATTTTCTGTTTTAACTTTCATTCTGACCACCTTGGATTCTATATCGTAGGATGAATCGTTTTTACCCCATGTATATGGATTGGTTTTGAACACCGTTGTCTGAAAAATGAACACATAAACCATTTAGTATTGAACTGCCAGGGCGGCAGGCCTTATTTTGAAAAATTATGTCATTGTCTAACAGAAAGGGTTTAAATGACAGTGGTTGTAGTGGAAAACCTAAAATTGCTACATATGATATACTGAGTTCAATGATAGAAATAACTATCCAGCAGCTTGGTGTTCTTAGCTTGACGGCTCAGCAATTGAGACTGATGAGGAATAGTGTCCAATTCTGTACAATAACATTACAATTTCCATAACCATTAAGTTTTATTCTCTCAGGAATCAGTATCGGGTGCTTTTTCCTATAGCAGCAATAACCTAAGTTTGCGAATAAATTGCATTGGTATACCTGTATATCCAAATTGTCGTTGACCATTACTACACCAGTATCGTTAGCACCAGGTAGATTAACAGTTATATCTTCACCAGCTTTTATATCAACTTTAGCTAAAACATCAGGACTTAGTTTTCTAGCACTTAAAGTTAGCTCCTCCTTTACTATAGTCTTGGCTTCTTGTCCTCTGACAAGTAAACTACTGAGAGCATTCTGACTTTTGTCTAGACTGTCTTCAACATCAACTATCATAGATCTTGTCTAAAATACAAAAGGAATAATGTCTTCAGAAATTTTAGCACACCAAAAAACACCACTCAAACTGTTGACATGGTTTGCATTTAGATTATGCTAGTTCATGGAAATTTTGACTCTGTTCCGTTACTCTCTAAATCACAATTGCCTTAAATTAACATAAAAATTGAAAAAAAATCCTTCTAAAATGTGGTATGGGAAGAGCTAATGCATGATGGTTAGTTTTGACCAGTTAAAAGTAAAAACGTCGATGCTATCCTTGTCATAATTCTTGCTGGGGCACATGCTTAATGTGAAAGATCGGGCAAAAAGTGAGACGAAAATATACGGGGTGAAAAATACAAGTCAATACTTCTTCAAAATACTCAACTGTTTGTTTCTGCTTTTCAACTGCAACTTGTTCTGATTCAGCTATTTTATAAGCTAAATGGGCAGCTTCTTCTCGACTGATCCCCGGACCACCTTTCCCGGTAGCCTCTACTTCTAGTAGTATGGCATCTTTATCTAGAGTTGGTACCCTTCCTTTAAGATCGGGCACAGTAGTCTTTAGTATACCACCCATCATTTCAGCCATTCCTATTGAGGAGGTAATGAAATTAAAGTCATTCGCAAGACAACTCAATCTGTTATTCAAGCAAGAAAATCTGATTATATATATGGAAATCGAAACAGCAATACACAGATCATAAGATCAAATAATTTAGGATCAAAAGAAAAGTTGATAAGGTGGATATCAGCAGGGTTATTGCGAGAGAATTTGCCCATTTTTTATACGACTTCGAAACTTTTAAAATTTTATTTTTCAATCGTGCTTTACAAATCCAACCAGTACTCCTTTGGGTTGCATTGCGCTACGACATATAGACACTAGAGAAAAATATCGTTGAAAATTCATTATTTTTTATTATGTATATATAATATTCACTTTACTGATCCAGATCAAACTTTTAAACAATTACAAATAAAAAGACACAAAAAAACATCATAGATGTAACCCTTTGGGAGTTTCATATATAAAGAATATAATAATATTTGCTTTCAGAACAATTATTACTTATTTATACAAATTATATTTATAAAATACAATAGTTCAGTATAACCTGTGTATAATACTCACCTGCTACAGCCGTACCAATTTCATCTCTAAATGTATATGGACGATGCTTAATGATCCCTTCCAGTCCATTGGCAGAAGCAAGGGCGAGTTTCGATCCCATCGTCTACATAAAAAATGTTCATGTCGAACATTATAGATGCCTATCTCCGCAAATTGCTTTTGCTTATTTTTAGAGAGTTTATATAATATTTTACTATTTTACTATTTTTCTCATGCTACCGATACGTGTTTCGGATCAACAATTCTCATCAGAAAAAGCATTTTTGGGTATGGAGGTTCATTTTCCAAAAATGCACTGTGTGCTTTTATGTAAATTTAACGAGATCACTAAAAACCAAATGGTTGCCTTCAACTATTCTACATAAATGTTCTGCATTTTCTTTCCAGTGAAAAAATGGATTTGCGACTCAAATCAACACAAATGTCCTTAACATATGTATTTCAAACTTGGTGACGGAGTATTGTCAATGCAAAATATGAACTATTAAAACTGGATGAAGAGAATCTCGCGATGTTCAGATCTTAAGCTGACCGTATTTAAAAAAGAAGTATTTGGTGTATGGAGAGCTAATTTAAAATACCACTTACTGCTGTATCCAGTGAAGAAGCTTTAGGATTTCTCAAAATATTAGAAACCGTAGCTGTTAATTGTTTTACTCCACCACCATTTAAATTCAAAACATCATCTTTTCTATGCAACAAAGCTTTCATTTGAATTTCTCCGATCTAGATTGAAGATAAGATAAGGGTACAATGAAATTCGAGTTTTTCAAGATATTTATTAGTAGCGTACATCATAAGATTCATAGTAGCATGGGGCAGTGAATGACTAGTTGTAAGTACACTTTTCCATTTATCAATATCTAACAGTGTTCAATAAATGGGACCAGCAAAGGTCCTTCACTTTCGTAACACCATATTTATCCGAAAGAAGTAGGAATAAGTATTTCATTTTCATCTTCTGTCTTTGATTGCCAAAGGTGTCTCTGGAAAAAGTTGTGATAATCTAGTTAACAAAGTCTTTAACGCATTGTCAAAGTTTCGAGTTTCCAAGTTGAATTTACGAGTTGTTCGAATGTTCGCATTACAGTCGACGCTTCCGTAAAATAGACAGATACCTTTTTGACTTTGTCTTCAGCTTCAGTATCTTTAGGTTTAAGAAAATCAGTATAAACAGTTCTCCAATCTGGTGCTGTTGAGTTCTCATCATAAACAATATCATCAGCTTCATCAAATAAGATCGTATTATCAGGAAGCTCCTATTAATGAATACAGTTTTTGACAAAATATAAAGGAATGCATGAAAGGTTTTTGAATACTGTGAATAATGTAAGTTTGTGAATACCTGACAGAGAACTGTATGACCTATAGAACAGACATCAGAATTATTTCAAATTCTTTAGGTATTGATCTAAGCTAAAATGCATTATTAACGACAAAAGTTAATCATGCTTAAATATGTGTGTCTCTTCTTGGCTGAACATACATAATGGAAGATATGTATATTATGTATTATTATGTTGTTCTTACGAAAGGGATTAATTTAAACGAAAATAAGTCATACTCTTATGTACCTAATTCACCTATAATAGCGAGAGCAGTCAGCAATCAAGCATATTTTTAAGGATATAAGCAAAAAATTCGGCTATTTTATAATTCAGTTCGTTCTATCTTTCTCATTGTTATTGTTTGGACCTGCGTAATTGACATTGTTCTTCTCTGATGATCACGTCATATCAATAGATGTCTGAAGGAAATGAACTTAAAATAAATGTAAAGAGTTTTTCTCAATTTTGGATGTGTACCCGGACAATGATACCATCAATTTGCGTCATTCCAATTTTCAATCAGACGTCAGTGGTTCTAGCAATTCTACTAAAACGCCAAGGCCTTATGTGATACTAGCAAATGATATGACGTCATATGACATGGTTTTAGTGGAATTGCAGGAACCACAGACGTCTTTATTGCATAACAAATTTAGAAATCCTCTTTATAATTCCTTAAACTGTTTAAGTTAGCATTTCTATATATATAGGTATATATATGTATATTAACATGCCGTTACAATTTGAACAGATTGTACTTACAATGGACTGCACCACAGATACGACAGAATTAACAACTCTGGTAAACCTTACAGTACTACCACTGATATCAATATCCTTTAACATCTCTTCATTTGCAGTCATTATATTCGATACTTGTGTTGACGCATCTGTATGACTAGTATCATTTAATGGTGTTTTTAACTGCAATACAGAAGACCGAGTGGCATAGGTTTAGTAGACTTTTTAGGACATATAAGAAGGGGTTCAGACCATCACCACGAAACTCACCAGAACAAATTGTCCCTATTGGTAACGTAATTGTACGATGAGGAAATTAGAATTGGTAATAAGACATTTTGTTTTAACTTGGTCATCAATTTTTATTAAAAAAAAATAGAATGCACCCACTTACAGTAATATCCATATACGATACAGCATAATCTTGTAATATATCATAAACATATGTTACTAATTGATAATCAGTGCCGACTGCTCCTGGAAATATTGGCACTTCCAATTCAGCTGATGTACTCTCGACTAGAAATAGACATTGATAAGTACACGGAATTACGTCAATTTCTTGGGTAATGAATATAGGCCTAACAAATAACCATATCACAAAAATCTGTTGTCCATTGGAAAATTCTTTGACCCTTACTCGACATTCCCACGTGATTCATAAAAAACGCCACGACAATAACATTATTAGCTATGTGAACTCTGAATGCAGTGCTGAATTGACAAACTAAATCGCAGAGGCATCAGATGCTCTGCAAGTGCTGCTCCTGCTTGTTATCTGAAATTTTCCTTAATTCTTTTAAAATCATTTTCATTACAGCAGCCAAAGAGGTGAGTCCGAGCCGTTCTATATAATCACAGGCGTAAAATGTGTTGTATAGTGAATCTTCACAACGCCGAACAATTACGAACTGCATCTAATACTTTGACTGCAATAGCCACTTCACTTGAATCACGGATGTTTGTAAATGGAACGATTTGATTGGATATACTTCCTTATGTGAAAAGTTTACAAGCTGCTAACAATGTTTCTCCAAAATGTTGTTTTGAATTTCGGGTTTCGTTTGTACATGTAGTTGCCTATTAATAGTGTATCGGGAGTCTTGATTCAATTGGTAGATTTAAACGGTATGTTCATTATTCCAGAACACCCCCTGATTTTGTGATTTTGTTAACAGTTTTAGAAGCTAATAATACCACATTGACATCATCATGGGACTAAAAATGTTGTTGAAATATAGGCCATCATGGGGATTTGACCAAATACAATTGTGCTGCGTTTCATAACAGAAACAATAAATATATAATATCTGTTGATAACAATAAATACCTCCGTCATCTAGTGGAATTGTTTGATCTCCTTTCTTTATAACATATTTATAAGACATGGGTTCAACACCATCTATTTCTTCATTTCGTTCAGAGCGGAACCCCTCATCCATGTAATTCTCACAAATTATCTGGAACTTGGTTTCGGAAACAATACCTATAGCAGTAATAATTTATTAGTTATTTATCAGCAAACTACCATTTCCCAAAAGTATTTGCGTTTGATAAACAATTGAATATTTACTTGGAAGTTGCAGGGATTAAGAACATTATGAAAGATTGTACAGTTTAAACTTATACAATGTAAATGTTAGTGTTTTGACTATATCACGCCATTGTCATGTTGATTATCATGATAGAATAAAATAAACTTTAAATAGAGATTCGTAAATCATATAAATATCAAATCTAATTAAAAATTTCCGATTTCCTTTCCGATATATTTCTTCTCCACAGTAATCTGAGAATGTTTCTACCATAATCCCGTTCTATATTTACGATATTTAACCAATCAAGTGTGTCATGTAGGACCCGTTTCTTTATAACAATGAAAATATGTGTGGAAATATAAAGAAACTGTTACATAATTCAACTTTTGGTTTGGCTATTTTGAAATTCTTATAAGGACAAAACACGTTATAAATTTGTTGAATCTGAACATGACTGTGGTAGAAAACATATGAGATTACAATGTAGATGAAAAATTCAAAACAAAATTTAATCAATGTGTGACAGTCGATTTTGAAATGGGAATAACGAATAACTGCGTACTGATCTTCGGCATACAATGAATAAGTCGCTAACAAAGAAGATTTTGATTGATTAAATCAAGTAATAAGAGGTACCTTCAGTAGGAACAGATTTACAAGAACCATTATATGGCGGTAGATTGGCATTTACAACGTATGCAGCATAACCTTTACTGAGTCTTCCAGGTATATCAACTGTAACCTCTACTATATATTCACCACCAGGTTCAAACACGTTAGCATTTATTACTATGGATGTCGGATTGGTACCTTGAACATTTTGACGAAACTGGCATTTACTGATCACAAAAGTTATATGGAGATGAGATACACTTAAGCCAGCAACATAAATTATGACTGGCTCATATAATTTTCTCTGCCATCGAGGTTATAATCAACGCATTTAAATAAACAAAATGTCAGTTGCAAACACATTTACAGTAAATCGTTGGACTCATAGAGAAATCCACGTGTTGACTCCTGTTCAATAAAATAAATCTAGTCTGATATTCATTGAATGGATATGACCCATAATGTCTTTTTTTCAATTGATAATATCGTCCAATGTGCTGTTGCTTTTGGATTCGGCTTGGGTACGTACAAATGCCCTAGTGACTCATAACAAGTATTCAATGACAATAGAGGGTTCTATCTCTTGACCAGAAACGTTGATATCCAGAAAGTACGCCCTCAAGTATAGACATACGCATACATTAGGCTTACCTGTATCCCCTATCTTCGATGTCAGATCTATATTGACGACCTCTGTGCGTTTGTTTAGCAATCTGGACATACTCCATTCGTAGACAGCTGTCGCGTATTCACTTGGAAAGCAAGATGTACACTCGGTTTGCAGGGACAGCTCTGTAGAAAGAGCAACCTTTACCTCACAATTAATAATGCACCTAAAGAAAACATAAAACGAAAGTAGCTAAATAAATTCATCGAGAGCAAATGCATCATGTAAGGCATCTTCCATTAGCTATACATGAAGTTAAAATGTGTGAGTCGAAAGAATCAAAATTTAAATTTGTTAATAGGTACTTTAGGTCTGATCAGGGGTGAATTTATATACAACATAAGTCAACATCTCCCACGAAAGAATTGAAACATGTAGGAGTAAAATTTGATCTGCACCGGTACCTGATATAAAGCTTTGTTAATATTTTGCGCAACTATTCGGGAAAATATGGATCGCGTTATAATGACTAGTTGAAGGGGTAATTGTTGTCTGACGTTTTCCAATATTTCAAAATTTTGAAGAATTACCATTCGATTGCACGTGTGTATTACGCTTGTCATCAGATGTTCCAGACATAAGCGAAGATGCCGATATAACAATTGATAGAGAGGAATAAATACTTACAAAATATTGATATCTGGAGCTTCATAAAGAACTTGTACTGTCTGAATAAATTCGCCAGCAGTACGTCCTGGTTTATTTACCTCCAAAGTAAATATATACCCAATTGGTCTCTCCTCACTACTCGCTTTAAACAATAGTGTTCCAGCTGCAAGCTGATAACTGACTGAGTTACATGGTATGCTAAAACTTTCATTTTTATACTTGGATAATAATTCCAGGACTGTTGTAGTATTCACTTTTTTACACGTCCAGGAATAAGACAAATCATCTGGTTGTCCTTGTTCTTTAAGAGGATCATAAGATAATGGAACAGCATCTATCGTTATATCTTTCATACCAGTTGTTCTTTGAAATCCGCCAACAATCTCAGCACGGATCGGAGGGTCACGAAATTCCAAGAACGTGATTTCATTCAACCAACTTTCTGGTTTTAAAACAAAGCTGACGTTAAGAGATAAGATATATTTGCCTTTGGGAATTGAGTTTTTAGGAAATCGTATGAAGTCCGTTTGTGGTTGGTCTAGTGATACATTGGTCATGTTACCATCTGTAATATTCTTCAGTGTCCAAACAAACCTTGGTTGATGTTCACCACAATATATTGTCAATCTTGATGATATTTGCATCAACTGGGAAGTATAAATACGCATAGGATTGTCCTGATAAGAATACTGCGGGTCAAAAATACCAATAATTGAAAAACATTCGTTTATTACACTTGTACTCAATTTACCACTAGTAGATGTCAAGACATTCGAGCAGTTGTACAAGATGGTATATGGTCCTAGTTTAGTATATGTATGAAGAAATGTTATAGGGTGACTAAGACTTATATTATCCGTATGATAGTGCAATACATTATCAACGGTATCACCAAAATTATATTCACAGGTTACGAATGTGATTGGTTTTGATCCTGGAGGTAACCCGAGTGACAGACGAAAGTTACCAGGCGGAAATGCAACGTTCTGAGCTGACACTGATAAAAGGCTTGTTAATGGATTTTCGACAACTAAGACGTCCTCGACTGTGTTGAATTCTGAAAATGTTGAATTGAACACTTTTGCAGTAGCAATATAGTACCCACCATCAGCGAAAGAGTGGCTAAAGTTTTGTGATGACACGGGAACTGTACCGTCTCCAAAATCGATTTGGTAACTGAGCGGTTCAACAGAACCGGTATTAATTATTTGTGTAGTGAACAGTACCGGATTTCCAGCCAGAACTATCAAGATATCAGATGAAATGGTTACTGTTCCAATCTGTTGAGTAAATGTGATTGTTTTCGTTTCATTACTCATGTTAATCTCTAGCATTCCCATGAAAATATCGCGCTTTGGGAAATGATGGACAAGGATCCATTCGTTGAAGGTTTGGACTAGAGGAGTAGAGTCGTCACCAAAATTCCACGTCAATTGTGTGTTTGGTGGTGTAACGTCCAGATCTTTTATCCTTAAGCTAAACTCTACATCTCGACCCTCGGTAAAATTGGTTGGAAAGGGGTTCTGGTGAAATAAATTCACGTCGTCGATTGTGTAATATCGAACGCCTATGGAGCTGAATAACGTGATATTACTTATTTGATTACTGCAAAACACATTAACCGAGTAATTTCCAATGTTGCTGTATGTATAAAGGTGTGAAAAAGGTGATGTCCAAGTCAGATCTAACGTCACGTTCTCATCATTCCCGTCTCCATACGTGAAAACACAAGAAACGGATGTTGGTGGTGGCATTTCATGTTCCATACTGAGAGTAAACTCTACTGTACTATTGTCATAAGGTATAACAAGCGAAGATGGGGTTAAAGTTAAATTTCCTACAGCATTTTGTATGATGATTGACGTCGTATAATTCTTTTCGTACTCTGGATTAAATGATCTCATGGATATATAATATGTGATTGGTTCAGAATACGTTGTATTCAAGGGTGCTTGGCTGAAGGGTAGATAAAGGTCGTCCTCTGTGTTAGATGCTTGTTTAGAATTTCCGTATATTATTTTATACTCAAATCCAGATGGTGGTGGATTAATGAATTCAAATGTTACAACTTTGCCAACTTCAGCATATGGCTTTTTAGGTTCCAGTGTCAAGTCTTCTAACTTATCCCATATTGCAAAATCAACTTCCAGGTTGTCGGAGCTACTCTCAGACCAAATACTTAAATTGGCTTTAAATTGACCCTGAGTGGTGAATGATTTGAAAAATTCTGTACTTTCTCCTGGGGTAAAAGATTTTGTTTCATTTTCACCCGTGTGATAAAAGATCTGAGCTTGTAATGTGCCCATGGGCGTCAAAGCCTCAGATTGAGTTTGAATGTCGAATTTAAGGTTACTCGAAGTCTCGGCAACTGGCGAATCAACAGAAGCGACAATGTGGTTGACAGGGTACTGAACCGTCAACAGAAACCATGTATATTCTGCGCTTGCATTGTTGGCTGCCACCACTGTTACGTTGTCTTTAAGGATAGCATCACATGAGTAATTCTTCCAAAGTCTATTGATATCTCCAGAATAGATTTGAAGTATTGAATATTGCTCAAACATCCACTCACTAAGAACATTGCTACCACTTACCAAATCGAATTCAATAACGTATGTTTCATTTATGTTGCAAAAGTGTTTCCGCCCCGGTGGTGGTAACCCAGCTACCTTGGCTTCATGGAATATGTAAAGATTTAAATGTTTCTTGCCCTCATTGTTTAGTAACTCCAAGGTTAGGTCATATATACCATAACTGGTAAAAACTGGATGAGATGTTTTGATTGTTACTGCTCCTGTCTTAGATGTCTCAGAGTGAGTAATATCTGATGAAGGTATTGGGTCACTGTTCAAAGTTGCCGTTAGTGTTGATCCTGTTCCTGTGGCATATTGAACGTTTACTATCTGGTCTTCATCGGTTAGTTTTATCAAATTGGTTCCCCCGGGTGATATCTCAAAATTTGTAATTGGTTCAGCATTGCTTATCGTTGCAGCAGACCCTAAATAAAGACATATCGTAACATTAGCATCCTTGAGCAGTGGCAGCGCAAGTCTCCAAAAACTGATTGTATAACTTGGAGGCCGACTGACTTAATAGG